AATAAACTGATAACTGACTATCAGTCCTGAAAGCTTTAGACTTCAGTCCTTCTTTGTTGCCGAGCAATATTGTGAGAACAAATTCTAATTTTGAGGACAGGTAAACACGCGACCGGAAGTGAATTTTATGAAAATCTCTGACTTTTCTCTAGACATTTGCAGTATCTACAACATACATAAAATTAATTCAAGTACTTTATCGATAAGTAATATTTATGAGAAAGTTAAATATAAAAATAACGTAGTTTATCTCCTAAAACCGGAAGTTGACATATTTGTTTCCGGTTGAATCATACATATTTCAAAATAGCGAAAGAGATGCAATAAAGTGATGCAAGTTTTAATTTAAAAAAGAAAAGTTTAATTTTTTGATTTCTTTGATCACTTCCTGTAGCAAGTGGAAGTGACGACTGACGCGTTTAACCCAAATGGTTTTGCCTACTCCTCAAGGTCTATTCCTCATAAAAGTTTGGTGTTTTAATCTTTTACCTGTTTTTGAGATCTCGCGCAGAAATCTTCTCATTTTAAGGACAGGAAAACACGCAACCGGAAGTGAATTTTTGAAATATATTTACGGCTACTCTAGACATTTGCACTCTGAATGACATAATTAAGATTCATTTCAAAAACTAAATCTACAAAGAATATTTATGGGAAAGAAAAATACTCAAATTATGTAGTTTTTCTCTTATAACCGGAAGTTGTCGTTTTTGTTTCCGGTGGGACCAACATCTTTTAAATCTGCGAAAAAGGTGCAATAAAGTGATGCAATTTTTAATTAAAAAAAGAAAAATTGAAATTTTCGATTTCTTTGATCACTTCCTGTGACGAACGGAAGTGACGGCTGACGCTCTGAACCCAAATAGTTTTGCCTACATCTTAAGGTCTGTTGCTCAAATAAGTTTGGTGCCTTAATCTCTCACCGTTTCCGAGATCTTGCTCAGACAACTTCTCAATTTGAGGACAGAAAAACGCGCGACCGGAAGTGAATTTTACAAAGATATTTGACGTTACTCTAGATATTTTCAGTCTAAATAACATAATTAAAATTCATTTCAAATACTCTATCTACAAAGGATATTAATGGGAAAGAAAAATACTCAAATTATGTAGTTTTTCTCTTATAACCGGAAGTTGACGTTTTTGTTTCCGGTCGGACCAACATATTTCGAAACTACAAAAGAGATGCAATAATATGATATAAGAATTGATTTAAAAAAAGAAAGTTGAAATTTTACGATTTCTTTGATCACTTCCGTAAGCGACCGGAAGTGCCGACGACGAACGAAAAGGTGATTCTGTTCACCTATAAGTCATGCTCTATCGTCTCCAACAAGTCTCCAGTTCATATCTTTAGCCATTTTTGAGAAAAAGGGGCGACAAAATTTCATTTTAAAATCAGAAAATTGTCCATAACTTGGCACCGGAAGCCAATTTTCAAAATTCCTCCAAGATGTATCAAGTTCCTATAGATGCGCATTATTCCTGAAAATTTCATTGAAAACCACTGAATAGTTGCTGAGAAATCGCGTGCACAAAATTTAGGGAAAAAAATAAGAATAATAATAATAATAATAATAATAATAAGAAACAGTAGAATCACTATAAGGTCTTCCGTGAAGACGGAAGACCTTAATAAAAAGAAACAATACAATCACTATAGGTCTTCCGTTGTGAACGGAAGACCTAATAAACAGTAGAATCACTATAAGGTCTTCCGTCTGAAACGGAAGACCTTAATAATAATAATAAGAAACAGAGTAAAAACAACATGTTCCCAAACTCCGTTTGGGGAACATAAATATTCTCGAAGGCACGTAAAGCAAGCAAGGGACCACAGTTAGAAAATGTCCCATATAGCTACAATGTAGCAAACCAGAGCGGATTGGCTGCAATTTGATTTTGGGCAATGTTAACATAGTTGCAAGGGGAAAAAAGCATCAACTTAACCATGACAAACAATTATATGACGTCCAATTAAAAAGTCAATTCATTTAAGGAAAAATTAATATTCAATTATATTTTTATTTAATTTTTTCTCGCTCCGTCTGCCATGCATATGTTGACGTAAGTGTTCATATCAGTTATCTGCTCCTGATTATTATTATTTTTTTTTTACATTGCATATACACACCGAACGAATTCTATCGGTATATTGGTTTCGCAGGACAAAATCAATTAAGCAATAGAACTTTCTAAATAATTCCCTTTCACCATATTCATTCTGCGGCCAGTCATTTAGGGTCTTAAGGATGATGTTTACTCAGATACCAAAAAACAAACCATCCACTGGTGGGAATGAAACACCACCTATTAGACATTGTAGACCTATGATCATGGTGCTATTTTTTACTTTTAAATAAGTGGGACCTACTTTTCATGCTAGTGGCCTCTCAGTATGTCTCGAAAAGTCCCTTAAAAATTTGCACTATGACCAAGATTTTCTTTCTTTGCAAAATATAACAAGTATTAAAAGTCTTTGGATAATGAAATATAATGAAAATAAAGATAACAAACGTGTTAAATATTCCACTCCGATTTTCCTCTTTCAACTTTCTAAATTCTACCCTGGTTTTTGTATGTTAATTCAAATTTTCTCCATTACATGCCTTCCAATTATTTGAAATAATGCTTAAGCTTTTACAAACAATATGTGCAAAATGATATTTTAAAAAATCATAGAAACTTAATTTTTAGGATAAAATTATTAGAATTTTTTTTAAAATGAAAATTGAAAAATTTCGTTCGAATTCCCTCTGCATTACCGTAAATCTACACTTTCATCAAATGGTTAAATATTAAATTTTGATATTGAAATTAATTTATTACATGGTTATTTTATCTGTTTAGTAAACTTTTGATTCAAGACATTACACTCTATAACAAGCCGTTTCTGTCAACTTAAACTCTGAGTAAACGTCATCCTTAGCTGATTGACAGTGCGACCAAAAGGACACATTATACATTAAAGCTGTAAGGTCTGCTAGTGTTTCAGCATATATATTATGGTCTAGGAAGGTGTATCACATATCCAAAAGACTAAAATTTCCTTTTTCATTATCATATATCTGGTGCCTAAGTGCTTGACTGTTATTACGTTAATTATTCGGCGTAAGGATCTTTCGAGAAAGGTCACATGACATTCAAAAGACACACGAGTTTATTGCTGGATAACATTTCATAATTTTATATCTTACTTCACGCCATGTTCAAGCATTTGTTTATTCTATTAAGCAGAAGACTATGACTACTAATCTTCTTGTCTTGTGCCCGGATTCCGTCAAAACCAATGACTTGCCACAGTTCAATGTTTACAATTGAAGTGCAGATAGTGCGCATGTACAGCCTCAGCAATTTTAAAAGTGCTGTAAATGTATTATATTTAGTGTGTACGATATTTGGTGGAGATTGATTTAGCACGTGTCTAAATGTACTGTATATTAATATATATATAAAGACCTTTCGCTATGTAGTTGCAGATACTGCTTTTCACTAAAAGTGCTATATATACTCAGCCAAATATGATGCATTTACAGTAATTTCTTACTTAGGCGAATGTAATATATGGAAAGTGGGAAACTATTACACTACATAGTGAAAATTAATCAAAATTTTCTGAGAGCCAAAAAATTGGACCTTGAAGTTTAAAAATAAATCGTCATTGAAACTCTTTTATAATATTTGAAGGTAACGAACAGTTATCAAGCTCAAACGCCCATTGAAACAATATCATACAATTATGGGCATCACAAATTATCAGGACTGAGTAGGGTTGTCACCCGAGGGCACAAGCACCCGAGGGCGCTTGCTCCCTCGAGTGATAACCCTACTCAGACCTCATAATTTTTTATGTCTCCCTTCTAAACAGTCCATAATAGTTTTATTATCCTGAATAATATAAATTTAATAAAATAGAGTAAAAGTATCAGTCAAACCTCTTGTGTTCTAACTTCTACCCACTGCTCTGATTCCATACTTTCAAAATATGTCAACAGAAAATTTGTCGTCACCGTCAGAATATATATTATTGTTTACCAAACCCGCATATTTATCATTTTAATATATTTATATATGAGTTACCTCGCTTACAAATGCCGGAGACATCGCGAATTGTCTCCTGCACATGACATGTTCTAAACCAATCAGGTTGACTGTGTTATTCTGAAGGATAATACAAATTGTAAGCAGAGCAAACACGGGCCTATAAAAACATCGTCGTTGATATATAGAAATGTCGAACTGAAGGCCACAGCAAGATTTTTTTTCATGTAGGAGTTTTTTTTCATAAATTCTGAATCGTATGAATACAAAAAAAAAAAACAGGTCTGCTAATAACGGGGCACAATTGCTACCCATGGAAATTCCAACAGATTGTTGGGAGACCTGGTCACCAACTCTACATAGATATTGTCAGTCAGAAAATCAATCATCTTTTTAAATATCAACTTCGGTCTTTAATTTATCGTGGGTAATGGTTGTATAAATGTTGAAAAATCCGCTTTGATGCTATTGATTTTTGGTAAAAAAAAAAAAAAAAAGTAGATATGGGACTTTCTGTATCGTATCTTGTTTAATTGATGAAAATTTTTTTGCGCCAGTACTTTTAAAAAATTTACAACAGGAAAAAATATAAAATGTCGATGTCCTATCACCTTTTTTTGCAATATCATGTGTGACATCTGTGAAGATATTCGGGTATTTTGACAGTTTTGAATTTTCTTATCTCACACTTTACGATCGGATTCATATTTTCATTAACGCTACCAGTATTTTGAGAGAAAAATATGCTCACAGGTTCGACTTGAATACACATGCTGCCTTAATTTTTAGGGACAATATGTATAGTATAACATTACCAACCAGTTGAGTGAAAAGTACAGGATTCATTTGATATTTCATTTACAGTGTAAATGTACATGATATATTTTTCATAGTCATTTGGTGAAGTTTCTCCATTAAAATGCAGTAAACGCTACTTTATTTCTGCATGCCGACTTTAGTTTCCATTAGATTGATTACTTTCTTCATATTCGTAAACATGCACGCTTCCGTTCTCGGACCCCACCAATAGTCTCTTTTGGGAGAGTCTTAGAGCCGAAGGCATGAGACAATCCGTTAACAAGAATCTCTGGAATGTCCCGTCTTTGTCAAGGACATGGATAGCATTATTTCTTGGGTCGCTCAGAATAATTTCACAATTTTTTGAACAACAGACATCAGATGGCTTGAACATTCTACCAAGATTTCGTCAACTTTAAGTCTGTGTAGATTACGCGAAGTTTTCCCGCCTCCGTAATGATAAGCAGACGGCCCGTATTTCTACTCATTGTATCTACCACGCAGAGATCCCTGTTGAAATTTTCAGCGACCCTGTCTGGAGAATTGAACAAATAATATTTGATCCACTCTCGATGACCCTCTTCGTATTCATAAGAGTGTAGGACGCGTCCATTGATCGCCATTTTCTGGACAATTCTACGTGTATTGAATCGATCTTTCGTCCCTACAAGCAGCTCCTTTTTCAGTGAAAGCGCCACCCCCAAGGGCTCAAATGGTGACAAATTCGTTATAATTTTAATTTCGCCATCTTTAATCGACCATCGACTTAACACCCTATTGCCGCTATCCGCTATAATTAAGTCCCCGTTGTCAAGGCGAACGAAGCCCCTGATGACCACAATATCCAGGTCAAACTTCCGGAGGACACCGCCATCTGTGTTGCATAATTTGATCTCCTTGTCGTTCCTTCCATAGATCCATGTTTCCTCGAGCGATTTTTCGGAAAGAGAAAGAATCGGATTAGATGTCACCTGGAAATTAAAAAGTTCTGTCAATGTTGTTCCTTCGATTTCAACTCCCGAAAGTCGGGAGTGCAGATAATTGTCCCTAACGACGCGCCCAAACATATGTTCTAAGAAGTGGATATCGATTTGACCTTCGTTAAATTCCACATGATCCTCTGCCCTCTGTGGATCGTGCAGTTTGATGGCGCTCAACCGATTCCGAATTTTCTCGTGTAGTTTAACGATAGCAACGTCATCTGCTCTATCTTTGTTTTCTGTAAAGTACCCAGTTAGGTTGTGCAAAGTAGTAATATTGTTGTCCTCCGAAGATCTGCCATGCTCTCCAGCTTCGCTAGAACTGACTTCTGAAAGTTCCTTGATTAAGTTATCAGAAATGACCTTAACTGCAGATACTAACTCGTTCTCGCGATGTTTAATCCTGTTGATTTTCTCAGTTTTAGCGGCTTTATTCTTTTCTTCAACTTCAGCTATTGCTTTCAGGTTTGATTCTATTTTTGGAATCTCTTGATTGATTATTTCGGTAATTTTATCACTTGTAGAACGTCGAATGTCCTGGGCGACCTTCTTAAGTTTACACCAGTCATGATCGCGATGGTCTAGTTTAATGCATTCTTCACAAAGGGCTCTAGCACAGGTCTTACAGTAGTGATCCAATTCCTCCTCAGTGTGGAAGCTGCAGACGTTAATCAAGTTATCGATCTGGCCTGCCATTTCACAACTTTAAAATTAAATCATTTCGTAGTAATAACTCTTGCGAGGCGCTGGTGGTATTAACCCAGCGGTTAGGATCATACTTAGAAACAAAAACTCGATCTTGAAACTGTTAGAGGGTCATTAATGATTTAATTATCACTGCTCGTTTACGTCTTTCTTTATTTCACTTAGGAATTTAACATAGAATTTTTCTTTAGTATCGTCTGACCGCATCGATACACTTGCGTACATTTGAATCGGTGTCATTTTCCACTTTTTTATAAAACCCCTCGTTAAGATTATTGTCCTGAACAAATTTTAAAAGTATTTAAAGAATCTTAAATATTATTTTTTTCTAATATTAATAATGTCCTTTGGATCTTATTTGGTAAAATAAAATAGTCTTAAGCTTAGTACCCCGTTCTCAGTACATAATATAAAATAGACGTAGTACCCCGTTTTCACATACATCGGATATGAGGTATTATAAAGTTTATGGATAGGGGAACAAGTTTGATAAACTAATTATTTGCATCAGATAGTCGTCCGAAGTAATTTTTAGTGTAACATAGTGAGGATAAAGAACTTAAAAAACAAGACAGCACCAAAACCCCCTCTCTTTGGCTTTTTACAAGTCTCAAATCGATTCCATTCCGTGCTCGGTTCTGATTTTATAACTCCGCTGGCATTTAGAATTATTCAGAAGGAAATTGGTGATATAAACAATTTTTGACGTATGTCTATTTTGTCTCGAACTAAAATAATTTTCAGTTACTCAGGAGACTTAAGAAATAAACTTTATGTATAATTGGGTAACGATACTACGCGCAGCGCTTGATTAGGCCTTCCCCCTGCATTGATCATCTGCTATTTCCAATACATAAAACGATATATTCCTTAATCCGTATTGATTGAAAGATAGATTGACATATCATGTGACGCAGTTATGTTTTACGAAGCCTGTATGTCACTCTCTTACGTTATAAGATGCTATTAATCTCAGCTTGTACTACCGAATCTTTGTGCCCCACAAAAGCCATCTTAACTGAAATTGGATTTCCTAACTTAGTTACCGGAATAAATAATCGCTATCATATCATAACTTGTCAGATGTGTTTAGATTTGTGATTTTTTAAGCAAACGGCATACGTGTATATTGTTATGAAAAATTGAACCATATTTGCTTTTCTACATGATACATGTATTATACTATTGTCCCATATCATTAAACTCTTTAAGTTAACTCTGAGCAATATAATATCAATGAGAAGAATGCGATTGCTAATCAACTAATGACGTGGACGTAGTATTTCATCAGAATAGTATTATGCATCAAAATACATCTATATGTATGTGCATCAGAAAAATTCATTGAGACATACTGAACAAATATTATTTATTTATAGATCTGTTTATTATCAAATCTACGGTGTTACTAATAAAGCGTCATAGGTTATTCAGAAACATACAGAATGCAAAGATACAGCTGAGTTTCGATTATATCGAGCATCGATACTTCGAATACCATGGATATGTCAAAGTGATTTTATGCCGAAGACGTGTATCCAAAGGCATATAATCCCAACCACTCGTTCCTTATGTATTTTACCCTAAATATCTCCAATCCTCGGATATCAAGTTTTTTCGGTCCTATCGAGTTCGAGATAAGGATATTTGACTGTATGCCTTTGGACACTCGTTTTTGGCATAAAAGATTCCTATGATCTTAAACATGTTTTTCTATCTTTAAATGTTGTTCATATATTTATATTTACACCCACTGAATATTTTCTCCTTTATTTCTAAAGAAAACCATTGCCGTTTATCAGTTCATGAACAACACTAGGCATATCACCTGTACGGATTTCTTGATCAGTGGCTGTTCCATCAATGAAACGTACTATGACGTACATATCAATAATACAATAATTAATCTTTTTAATCCTACTTTTAATGATTGTTTATACAGATATAAATATAAACAATAAAATGTCTTTCTTTGGTTGTTAGTACGGGAATTAACGTCGCAGCTATTGCAGAAAAAATTAACATAACCCGCTTACGCGGGTTATGTATTTTTTCTGCAACAGCTGCGACATTAATTCCCGTACTAACAACCAAAGAAAGCATTTTATTGTTTAAATAAATAACGATTTTTTTCTGTTCTAATTTATTTTGTTTAAAATGGAAATTCATCATCAAATTGAAAGTACATGTAAAATGTTATTAAACTTAAATGAATAATTTACATTTGATTACGTAAGTTTTATAGTTACTAGACTCTACTAAGGATAACTCTTCATAGAACTTGTTCTGATAAGATGTAAGTGGACCATTACAACTCTGAATCATTGGTTGCAAGCAGTTTGAGAAAAAACAAAACAGAAATAAGAAATTAAAAAAATTAAATTATTGAAAAGGTAGGGGCAATCAAAACAAAACAACGTATGAATGCATGTGTGACATATTTATTCTTAAATTCATTGAATTTATGAGTTAACAAATAATTAGATAAATTGATTATACTCCCCCCCCCCCCCCCCCCCAAATCAAATATTTTATCAGATGGACGTAGCTCATCGTAGAAAATTACTTTTATTCTAATTCTCGTATGTCACAAAGCCTTTAATGTCAAATCAATAGACATCCAACAACAAGTTTCTAATTAGGTACATGTATCCCCGTCCCCAATAAAATCAATATTTGGGATAAAAAAAATCTTTAATTGGCCATTTTCTCAAATTATAACGCAATCTTGCAAATTTGAAATCTGGAATTGTCATGATGGAGACATAAAAACTACACAATACTATGAAACGATGAAGTACTATTTTTTCTTAAAAATGATATTGGAATAATCTTTTGCGACTTTAGCACTTTTTGCTTTGAATAATTTGAAATAAAAGACAGAGTGAATTAAAATTATGAATGATCAAAATTATTTCCCCTACAAAGAATACAAATATGTACATGAATTAGTCACTATGTGTTTCTTATGTTCATGGTGGCTCAAATATTTCATTAACATCATCTGACAGCACTCCGTCCAATATGACGCCACTGTTACGTCACTGACCGCTCCCTGCCCTCGCTTGCTGATACCTGTAACAGGTATGGCAACAGTAACTCCTGATTTCGCTGTCGTTGCATGCAGTTTCTCCGGCGTAATGAATGTAATCCGCGCAGTTCAGTGTGCCTCTTGGCGTGTTTATCGATACTGGCTTGTCCCCGTACTCACAACCTGTCATAAATATAACATCAAAAATAAAAATATTAATTATTATTCGTGTGTTGAAAATTAACAACAATTAAATCAGTCATCAATATATACACCTTACAATGGGACCTGAACTTTTAATATAGCTTTCCTTATTTTTTAAGAAAAACAGACACTTTAGAAATGACTACATAACTATATACAGTAATTGACGATCTGAATATTAATGAAAATATAACCCTATACTCGTAAACAAAACTTGAACTAACAAATATGCTTCAACAAAATTAAAGAATGTACGTGTCTGTATTTTATAGAAATGAAAAACTCTACAGAAAAAAATCCAGATATCATTGCATGCAACCAACATTGACCATCGAAGATGAATTACTCTAAAATGGAGTAATATTTGCTGTGAGAGTTATCTCTCTTTGGCTTTTACCCGCTACAGGGCTCCGGACGCTGTTTTTGATATGTTCACACGTTCTACAGCAGACTTGACTGACTGAGCTCTGATAACAGTTGATCCTCATCTGTCCGTCAGGAGTATACGGTGTACAAAGCTCCGGGTTCTGATCACCCCATCGACATCCTGGAGTAAAATTGTAAATGACGATGTCACGTACATGAAATATTTTGCAAAGAAAAAAAAATTAATATACCAAAATGATAAAAATATTTTAAGGTTTCTTAGCGTCATTTATTTTTCAATTCACAACTAACTTTAATATGGGCAGTCTTTTTTCTTTGCATACTGTTTTCCTGGATTTTACAGAACTTAGTTTATATCTATCTTTTCATGGAAATATTTGTTTGTAAAATTAAGGCGCTATTACCTGGTGTGGAATCGGTTGCCACTCGTGGACATGTAATACAACACAATCTCTGATTCTCAGGTAAATAACATAGATGGCGCTTCTGGTTGACTACTGTACAGCGTGGCGTCAGGTCACCATAAGCACAGTTTGAAACCCCTGGAATAAAATTCCCACACACTTTAGTTTTCTTAATTGATTAAAACCAGACACAATTGAAAACCGTAAGAAGCCTCATTCTGTGGAATTCAATGCTATTCATCGAAATTAAGAACCAATTTTAATGTACAGAATATTGTTTGATGTATTATACATGTACCTTTATACAAGTATTATTGAAATCAAATCAAAACATTAGGAGAGGTAAAATTGAGTTACGTAAATCAAAGTACAAAAAATTGAAACAAATCGAAATCGGTTCAAAATTGAACAAAATGTTGAAAGAATTAAACAGTCTGTCATAATTATATTTTTAGTTACCCTGGTTACAAAGTCCATTCAATTTAAAATGGATAAAAGGAATTCGGTTGGGCTACTTTTGCATCATATTATACATAAATCAGGCAAAACTAAATAAGTGACAATATAGGAGAAGTTTATCGAAGAAAAAAATTACTGGCCATAGTAATGTTGTTCATTAGAATACAGTCTGTGTGATATTGAAAATGAAAAAAAGAAGTGCAGGAGGATTAGCGTTTTGAATTTTGCTTACACACAAACGGACAGACAGATAGAGGGATGGACGATGTACACCTTTCAAATGCCTAAGCTCTTCTGGTCATCGAACAAAAGAAGCTATTTAAAAAATTATCTAACGACTCAGCAGAATGCTTCAATGTCGAATTTGATAGAGGAACCATATGCACTTTAGCGGTGCGTTACATGTACATGCACCAAAGTCTTTGAAGTTCAAGATGCCGACAAACTCAGCGGCGACAGGAATTCACGACAATTAGTTCCTCGTTATATCCCTCTTAAGATCAATTACCCGCCGAGTAACATAACGACATCAGCATGTGGAAGTGATCTATCGTACGGTCTCGTGAACCACTGACCTAGTGATGACTGCGGCCAATCGGCTTCATAGGGCCGACATCGCAACGATGCGTGACATCCGGGTTACAGTCACAAAGTACCAAAGTTCCCCAAGACGAAAGGGGTTAGTAGACATATTATATGTAACTCGATCTTAGCTTTGTGTATTGTCAATCTAGCACTGAACACTTCTTTTCAATTAATAAAGGAGATATGTTTTAAATTAATAGGATATCGTTTTCATAACTACTGAGTAGTATACGGAAGAGATATTTTTTACCTGTGGGTTTAATTTACGCTATGTACGCGGTCACAAATTCTCCGCGAAAATTTGTCATAGCGTACTTCAATGACATTTAAGAAATGCACTGGTCGGAAGCCCATTTAAGACCTAACAAAATTAACAAAAAATAATTTTTGAATTTGATATTACAAATGGTTATTTTTTTTTTCCAAACGGCAATCCAAGAAATCTGCGTAATTTGCAACCCGCAGACTAAACAAAAATTGTGAATCCGCGGAATTATGACCCCGTGGAAAAGTACGTTTACAGATTTATACATTTTGTGCATATACCATACTCCTTTTCTAAATTATCATTCCCTCTGTAAAAGATAATTTTCATAAAACACTTTATTTCAGCAACATTTTTGATACCCCCCTTTTTTTTTTTTAAATTCTTATCATTATTATTTGTCGCTGCAAATTCGGCCATCTTAAGAACATACCTGTATTAAGCTGACGTAAGTATTGAGCACACCGATCACAGCAGATTTCTCGTGTTCTGTCCACATAGCAATCGAACGGCTCTATGTTCCTACATTGGTAACTTCGGTCTCCGTATTCACATCCTAAAATCCAGTAAGTTATATTGTGCATTATAAAAAAGACTCTAAGTCAATAGATCATTAAAGATTTTGAACCCAAGACAGGTAACAACTTGAAAAAATATTATAAATTAATTATTTGACGTTAAACTTTGAAAGATGGCCTCATGCACTCGCCTCTGTTGTAGCTTTGTTTGACAGCAAGACACGATTCACAGCAGTCTTTGGAACTTCTTTCATAAGTGTAGCAAATAAACTTCCCTAAGCTTCGAACAGCCTCATTACACCTCAACCCGTTAATGTAAACGTCATACCCACTAGCTGCCGGACAATTCTACAAACAGAATGCATAGTAAGGCATGTTCAAATCAAAGCTTGTAGAAATACGTCAATGATTAATTGATTATTTGTTTGAAGAAAAGTTAAGTCTAATATATAATATTACCGGGTCATTAGAAATTCTGCCGGTGATTGGTGACGTTCCCCTGCTTCTGTTTACAGGATAAACCACAGAACCGCTACCAGATGGATAATTACTACCGCCACTGTTCCTATAAATAGTAGTAGTCCCGCCACCCGTGTTACCGGGATTATAATTATTATAGGTAGTTCTTCCTCTGGACGTGTACACTGTTTGTCTTGAGGTGTCTGGACGACTGTTGTAGGTCCTGCTGCTACTTCCAGAGTCTGTCTGGCCTGAACTACTTTGTCCTTGTGAAACGTCATATGAACGATATTCGGGTTCGAAATTTGGTATTTGAATCCCTGGGTCACTTCCGTATCCTGTTCCAGATTGATAACTTCCTCTTTGATTTGATCCACTTGTCATTGGAAGAGGCTAAAATAGGAAAGAACCTAAAAGCTGGGAGGATAATGTAACTCAAAGAAACCAGTTTATCTGGTCCAAAGACATTAACTATATATACTAGTAGTACATGTTGTAGCTGTGGTTTAAGATTCTACACGAAGAAGACTTCTTTTTGATTTGACATGTTAAACGCTTTTAAAGAATTCTGCTTGTTTATGCCAAAAAAGAACTTTCATTAAATCAGAGCGTATCTAAGCTAAAAAATGTTCAGGAACAAGGTTTTCAATTTGACATTAGTTGATGTTTGATTCAAAGATCTATGTTTAGAAGCATCAATGTGATGTCAATCATATCAATCTACATATTTCATTTATTGACCAATAGGTAAAGGATTTAGCTCCCAATCCTATATCGGTCAACCCAGGTTGGTGGCATAAACTTGAAACTATATCGTATAATTGGATATAATTTAACCAACTGTTGTCTTGTCAATCCAGAAATATCTTAGAATTTGGCTCCATCCTTTACCTCCAGGGACCAAGATTTTAGTAAACTTAGGAGTGCAGTGCATATGATATCATTTTATTGCATACTAGTACATGTTTGGTCCATTGGTTTTGAAGAAGAAATTTATATGCATTCTTAGTGATTCAATCCCAGATTAGAACCAGATGGAAGTTAAGCATTAAACAACAGATTATATTTTGAATAATGAGTATTTTCGGGATCCGACAATCACGATAGAAATTGCAACTTAGATTTGGAATATAGATCTAGCCAAAAAAAAATATCTTGTGCCTTATAAATAGATTTATTTGGTCGATAAGACGATGAATTTAAACCAAAAAATCCATATATACTACTGGAGAACATTATGAATGCTGATCACGAAATAGATGTAGAGGATGGATGTAGGATTTGTTTTCGAACACCTCTGTAGTGAGCAGTTGTTAATGTTTACATCTAATCTAAAGCATTCACATTTGATATGTTGTGACGTAAAACATCTTTCAGCCTCCATAATGAGCACATGAATGTCTACCGTGGAAAACTGTAGAGATCCTAGCAGGGTTCTAGAAGATATCTGGGAAACAATTAAATCGTTAAAAGACAATAATTGGCTTATTACTTTTGTAGAACTTTACTGCAATCAAAGAAATAAGAGATAAGAGGCCTCAGAACTCATTGGAATTGAGACTCTTTGAGAAAATCTGCCCTCTCTGATACGAATTTAGAAATGTAAAAAAAAAAAAGGGGGGCGTCATTACAATTATGATTAATTAACATAAGTAAATAGTAGACGTCTTAAATATGTACTTGTAGATCCATCATCTTCAAACTTCATTCTGTGAATTGAAAAAGATTTTTATTGTTTTAGTTTTTTTAAATTATATTTTCTAATTCTGAGCAAGGGATTGATCATTTTTGACTACACGTGAAATATACCTTGTCAGTTGACTTCTTATTTTTAATCTTATAAAATCATATAAGACGATTGTATGAAGATTTTCCTTCCCATTAGATTAGAGAGATGTAAATAAACGAGGTACATGTAGTTTGATTTATAAAGGATAACTCTGTGGTGGTAAGATTAAATCATTAAACGATTTCCTTTTCTTTCCCGAACTAATTATAGAGATAACTAACACAACTCTGGAAATGCAAAGCTTTTGTAAAGAACATGTTACATGTATATTCTTTATCATTGTGAGGCTCAAATATTATTATTGGCAAGCAATAGAGCCACAACCGATCTGATAACGCTGTACATAATTTCTTATCTCACGATGGAAGTTTTTAACTGTTTATAAATCGTGGTATATTGTTTGAAAGGGTACTGCTCATTCAGATAAATGTTTTTCAAACCAAATGAAAAGGCAGCGGTGTGCGCTACACTATAAAACGAATCTCCATCAGCCGTGTCTTACCCGGAGAAAAATTTCAACAATTTTTACTTAAACAAAATTTTGTGTTCTATGGTATATATAAATTCAAAATGTTGTCGCATCATTACTCTCATAAAGTTTATGTTTTAAAAAATACTTCTGAATTTCTCTTTTAGGCCATGTATTAGCTACATTGTACATAGAAGCCATGAATGTAGAAAAATTGAAAATATTCTACTTGAAGATGCTTGGATTATTAACTTAAGGAAAAAAATCTAAGGGAATTGTCAAATCATTATTATATCAACATTTAGACTCACTAAGTTTTTATTGACCACATCGAGGAAGCCTTGGGAAGGAGGAGTATGATGTGAACAAATTCAAATCTTGCGTTGATAAGAAATTGCATATAGAATTAACGTACTATAGATATGTACTTGGAAGAATACTTTTATTGTTTCCAAAAATGTCCCTTAAATTTTGAACCTCTCATGGGTTGCGTGCGCTTTTCTAGTGCATGGGATTTAGTTTGAACAAATGATTCTATCCCGAATAATGGTCCTTTTATATAAAAAATTGTTGCCTTAAGATCTTGAAAATATTAAAGATTCATTTTTATTGTTGGGGTATTATGACGTTAAACTTTGTACTTTTATATAGGCCATATTGGCTGACCCCAATTGCAATATTTTGAGCCTAATTTTTCTTCTAGTTCCAGCAATATTCCATGATTAAAACCAAACTATAGATTGTACAGGAGGGAATCTATTAAGTTTTGTCTTATTTGACATAGAATTTTAAATGATTTTAAATCTCCAAACCCAGTTACAGTATTACTTAAGTATGTCCTTTATTTATAGAATTAAAGTATAATTTCTCTCAGACAAGAGTTTGAGAAGTTCGGTGGCTAAAATCTTGAAGAAAAAAAATTAATCAGCGTTTTGCAAATTTAAAGAACAATGGAACAGACTAATACATAGTCCTCTGGCTCGGGTAAAATTTGAGGTTACAATGTAATAACTCCTGAGTGCGTTTTGATTTGGCTTTGTCACAAGTGTCGTGTCAATGCATTGCGAAAGAATATCCAACAGAACAAGCATTCTGAGAGTATTGCATTAGCAATACTAGTCCCCTACCGGCAAGTGTAATCTGGTTCCTGTTAAGAATTGAAAATGACATTATTCCGTCAAAAATCAATGAAGCGTAACGAAATGCAAACTTGATCTATAACTAATCAAGGTAAAGTCACATACCAAAAATCAGCTCAATATCTGAAAGCGTTTAGAAGAAAATTGCGGAAAACCCTTAAAAATTGAAAAGGCCGTAATTCCGTCAAAAATCAATGAAGCGGAACGAAATGCAAATTTGATCTGTAACTCATCAAGATACACTCACATACCAAAAATCAGCTCAATATCTGCAAGCGTTTAGGAAAAAAGTGCGGAAAACCAAGTGGGACAGACTGACAGACAGGCAGAGGGACAGCTAGACGGACGGACAGACTCGGAGGAAACCTATAGTCCCCTCCGGTTTCACCGGTAGGGGACTAATTAAGGGAAGAAAAGAGAAAGCTTTTAAAATTATTTGTTAGTGTACGAGTGCTTTATGATTCAGGGAAAGAGGAAAGTATAAAGAAATAGATAGTACTACCAATACTTATAGTCATGTACCTACTAGTATTTAAAGTATCGAAACTGAAAATATTCTAGGTAAAAAAAAAACATTCAAGTTTATTACTAGAGTAGCACTTGACTATATCACTTAAATAATAATAAAAAGTTAAACAGAAAACTGAATAAAAAGGACCCAGCAAGATGATATAACGCACTTACTGGTAAATCGCCGCCATCTTGGGGTGAGCGTCGCACTCGATCTGGTTTTTCTTTTCGTTGAACAACTAAAACAAGAGTGACAGGGCTTTTACTAGTACTAAAACAGTTGTCTTTGATTTAGTCCGTAAAGAAATGAGGTATATACTAAAAAACGTTGTTGTTTGATAAAAAGATTTTCTTTATGTTAAGTTTATTAATTCGATCAGACTAAACAGTTATTTAAAAAAAAAATATTCCAGAAAATTTATATGATTTCTTATGATTTTACAAAACAAACGAAAGGCATCGTTGTGAGCTAAGAGAGTTTGACTTGGATGTGTAATTTCTGGCCTTGAATTCTTAATAAAAGCCTTCTGGTTGAGTTATCAAGTACAAAAAACCGAATCTTTGAAACCAAACTTGTAAACATATTCAAGGATATATCAAAGGTTACTGAATCAGCCAAAATATTAGACAAGCGCATCAGTTCCAGAAACATTATAATTATTTATTTTACGCCTAATGCTTCATGGCTGTAAAATGCACACTTCAAACGTCAATGTGACCACAATTCAGCCAGACATAACCAATTAGTAAACAACAAACCACCAAAACCCTTACACAAATTGTTTAATAGGTGAAGGAGGAAATAGGAACTTGATTTCTACATTATTAAGAACGCGTCTTTATATGATTTTTATAGTTTATAGTATATGGAAGTACATTTCTTAGGGAACTTGTTATTTAGGTTTAAAGATTCGATTATATTTATATGCCAAAGGTTTCCAATATGCTTCAGCGAGTTAAAGAGCGGTGTTTCAGTATTTAATAGTTGTCATCTTTTCTGATGAACAAATATGTTTTAGCTCTATCAGCTGAGTTTATGCATGCACTTGACCTATAAGTTCTGTTCAAAATCAAATTGAACAGTTCAAAAGGGTCTTGCATCGAATAAGGCCTTCAGAAATATGTTAATTATGTCTGAGAAGATTTAAGGACACACATTATAGATTGTTTCTTCGAATAAGTGCACTGCAGAATTCGGTAAGCCTAATAATGAAGTCATTTGTGAAAAAATTTTGATTAAAATAAACTAGAGATGGATATTTTTATTTCTGAGAATTTGTATCATAATAAAGAAAATTCAATTGTATTAATTGACTCTAAATATAAACACTGGTCGTAATTAAAAAAGTAACACGTAAAGTTAACTTTACATTTGAAATATTTACACATTGTTCATATATATATATATATATATATATATATATATATATATATATATATATATATATATATATATATATATATATATATATATATAAAATCCTCATTAATCGAAAATTGCAAAAGGATCAGAAAAAAATGATATTTGTGTCAGTCTATCAGTAATGTGAATTTGAATCTACTTCATTACTTACTTTTACCAACTCCGATACTTATGGATAAAACTACAGAAACTAAACATCCCAAATGAAGAATAAAACAGATATAACGGATCATTTTGATAAAATCAATTTCTCTTTCACAGTGTGTATATTAAGTTTCCCAAAATCACATAATGGGATACACAATCACTAACTTATTAATATCGTCACAGTTTCTTCGCTGATTTCCCGAAATTAAGTGATCTAGTGAGCACTTGTAGTGATGAACGTATAATATGGTATCACTTTAGTGAGAGCTACCGGGGTGTGTGCAACGAGAAACTGCCAAGTGCAACTACAGGGGCAACCTAAAATGAATCACAATACTCACTAGTAGTGTTATATACATGTACAAAATTATGTATTTTTCTAATTATTGAAATAATATAAAGGAAAATCATTTTTTTTAAATCAAGAATCAGAAAACATGTAATATAAGGAATAACCTCTTTTTTATTTATAATGGTGATCAAACAGTTTTCTCACGTGATGATTTTATACATGAAAACCTGCATTTATGCAAATTATCACGTGAGCAAACTAATTGATCACATCATTAATACTGAAAAACTAGACAGCTATTTCTTAAATAAAATTGTCAAGTTAAAAGACTAATTCTGCCAAATTTTACCTTGAAAGGTAGATTGAACTATATGTATTTTACTGAAAAAATTATATGTTTTTTGGAAAATAACTGGAGTTAAAAAAAACTTTGAATTTTGACGTTCTGTACTAACCCTCTGGTCATAAGCTTTGTTCCAGCTAAACAATGGACAAAAATAAATTTGTCCGAATCAGTCTAACTAAGCCCATCCCCTACTATTTCACAACGAAGTGAAATAATAGGCGGTGGTTTTAGTCAGACTGTGTTTGAATGATTTTGAATCGAGGTCATGTTATATCTTCAAATGATTAGCTATCAACTATCAAATGTTTCTTCTTTTTTACTTCATCAGCTCAATGTTATTAAAAAAAACAAACAATTGACAAACAGTGTCCAGATCTTCAATCTCAATCATATTAAGCAATATATAGATAGACAAGGAAGAAGGGTATTGATTATAATGTTGATATTGTAAGTATACTTGTAGGTACGTATACACGCAATCCACATTACTGTCAGCTGTACAAGTTTATCTTTACCTGAATTTTTATTATCTTGAAAACATGTTGAAAAAAGGACAATATTATATAATAATACAGACAAAAATGGCTAGAAAGTGTATTTATCACACAGAAAAAAAATGTTCGTTTATCTTTTAACCTTCACCTCAAAAAGGTTAAAATCTAGTAGACAGATCTACAAATCAGGCACTAACTGTCACTTATTACGCTGAGAATACTGAGAGGGAATGGTGTTGACAGTAGGAGCCTTGATTACCGGTCTGTTAATTTTCATTGTCTGTGTCCTCTTCCTATTTCTCGTGTAAGTATTATTACATAATTTTTTTCACATATAAAGCTATATTTAGAATCATTCTTATAAACATTTTATGTTTAAATGCAGTGTCGATGACATTATCATTTACGGTAGTTTCGTCCATCATTGGATTTAATTTTTGCCTTACTTGTGTTATAATAGATTGGAACAAGAAAATAATCAGAGAAATGAAGACATTTTTGTAATTGTTTGGCAAAAACATGCAGGATTTTTTTTATTCAGACGCCTGTTTTCTGACTTGAACTAACAAAACCACCCTTTCAATATGTGTTGAAAAGAAATACACCAAGCATTTGCAATCCAGTAGGGAAATAGGGGTCTACACCCCGAAGAATTTTCAGTGTTATTGAATTTATGTAGTAAAATAAATTAAAAAATACTTTGGACCCTTTTAAGAAACATGGACTCCTCCTCCGTTGGTAAGAAGAGTCATTTTTATAAAGGAAAGTGTTTTGTCCGTGAGATGACTGTGTCATCCCTTACCCCCAGAGAAATGGATTTCTTTTAAATATATGTACATGTTTTGGCACTATTTTTCGGATTTTTTTTGGGGGGGGGGGGTATGGACCCCACCCCACCCCCTTTAGGAACTTCGATTTCGTAACATACCAATTGTGACATATTTATTGAATATTATTTGAAATTTTACTTTATGTGAAAAGTTGGAAATATTAATACATGTATCCGACATCTTTCATGCTGCTCAATTTTTTGAAATCAAAAATTTAATAATTAAAATATTTCAATGGGCCATTTTTTGTTATTCTTGCCTTGTAGCGCCAGGAATCCATGTTTTTTGAGCCATAGAGTTCCTTTCAGCTTTACTTGCCTATCCAGGCATTCTTTTACACTTTGAGTAAATAGGGAATCTATATCAGACTTTTATGTAATAAAACTTCTTTTTTTTAATTACATTTAGGTCAATTATTTTTATTTCACAGTTACTATAGAGATGCACGTTTATCAATGACTTTTTAATTTTTTTTTCACTCCATATTCCAAAGACGAGAATATATATCATAGAATGAAACTAAAAATAAGCTGTTTTAAATGAAAATAGATCGAACAAAGAAAACAAATAAACAAAAATTTTTTTTTTTTAATTTTCTGTATTTTAAAGATACGTGAAATGGAATTTCGGGATTTTCAAGAGAATGGGGGTCAAAGGGCCACCCCCTCATATTTTGTTTGGAAATCACATGACCATCGCTAAAAAGGTAACTTTAAGAGGACAAGAAAGAATTTTTTTTGGATTGGCCAATAAATCGATAATTTAGAAATTCAAAGTTGTGTCTTTACTTCATGTAAACATCGAAAATTAAAGGAAAATAAGAAGAAAAACTTGTAAATAATAACAAAAAATTTATTCCAGGGATTTGCGGAAGCCGACATGATGTGGTGGAGGGAATATGGAGATGTATTCGGGTATTTCGTTTTTTAATTTAATGATTTTCAACATTTTTGTGAATTTAAATTTCCATTTACTATATCAACCTAACAACTGTGTGGCTATGAATTTCATTATCTGAGATGTTCGGTTATAACAGATACTTTACCGGTAGATCACCAATGTTGGTTGTGGCAGATACGGACATATTAAAAGAGATTCTTGTCAAGCAATTCCAAAACTTCACAGATCGAGCGGTATGTTTGGTTAACATAAGAGATCATTGAACCCCATCTTCACCCCCATTACCTTATTCTCACAGATGTAACCCCCTTGGTTTAGTCTCAAACAGAGAAAAATATAAACATGTATCGGTTAAACTTTTCATTCTAATATGTAATGTCCAGTATTTGGCTGTATATGTGGTTGTCACATAGGTCGGAAATATAAAGAGTATAAATGATTCAGAAAGATAGTAGACAGTTTGAACAGAAATGCTTGAACTTCTAGTAAAGTAATTGTTCTGGCCCCAGGATCATGAAACAGACTTAGACTTAAGTCAAATTTTCAATCGGCTGCAAAATGTTTATTAATTATTGAATTAATCTCTAAATTTGCAGATAACAACACTTTTGTGAAGCAATATTGAGAAATATTTTAATTTTGGTTTGCTTGACTTTTACATAATTTTAATACAACATAAAAATTTTGACTTTAGCTTAAGATGTTTCTTACGATGGCCGATATGGGCCGGACAAAAAGTAATCACGAGTTGTGTTCGATTTGCCGGTGTAACGACGAAAAGTGACCCCCGTAGAATATTGACCGGGGGGTCAAATTTCTCCGTAGAAAAATGACCCCCCGGTCAATTTTCTACGGCAAGTAGGGTCATTTTTCGACCGTAGAAAACCCTTCCAGGCCAGTAATTCTACGACTGCACACACGTTGAAAAATGACCCCCGTGGAAATCTGACCCCCTACTTTTTCACTATATTTTATAATTAAACCTATAGAAATGTGGTGTGATATGCGTTAATCCGATGTTGGGGAGGGTCGGTGAAGGCCTAGAGTCTCCTGATTTTTTTCTTTCAAATGTATATTGGAGGAGGAGCAAGTACCTTCCCCTCCTTAACGCCACTTCTCAATACTAGCATGATATACAATGTACGTGGTATGGTTTTTTTTTTTTTTTTGCTTGCATCCCATTGAGTATACATTATTGAGGAGCATAAATTCATAATTCATATTGAGTATACATTATTGAGGAGAATAAATTCATATATATATATATATATATATATATATATATATATATATATATATATATATATATATATATATATATATATATATATATATATATATATAGAGCTATCATTATATACTCGTATATATAATCCGTTTTGTTTGTTTCTTGGTTTTTGGTTTTTTTTTCTCACAGGTTTTGTTCCGAAAATGATATGATATGATATGTTTCTGACAACGATATACCTGTATGGAATGGATGTTATCGGAAACTATTTAAAGGACATGTTTGTGGCCCCATACTTCTAGCTTAAAATTTGTGCCCGCTTTCAACCTGCCTCCACCCCAGCTTTTACATGTATCAGTTTCTGGATACACCATTGCATTGAAACAAAAACGTATTGTATAATTATTTTTAGACAAGGAAAAATTAGAGAAAGCACGGCATATGAAGCGTCCAATATGGAGATGCTATCATTAACTGTAATTACTGCTTCATTTTTAATATCATGTAATATCTTTTTCCCTCTTTTAGGTTCATTTATCCTTATTTATTGCATGAATAATAAAAACCCCTCTTCGAAGGAAATGGGGGTATATACTTTATACCCTGCAAATATCTCTGTTGTGTGTACGGGGTGAGTGTTTGTGTCTGTCTGTCTGAAACATTTTTTTCGTCGCGGTTTTCTCTGCAACAACTCATCGCAGATGCTTGAAATACACTCTTTGGTTCGGCATGCTATACAGTGATATTCATTTTGGTACAAATCTTGTCCGTTTGTCTGTGCGGGTGGGGTATCACTAGAGAGCACTGGCTCATAGATTTCTTGTTTCCCCTGTAATTTGTGTACTTACAATTATTGTCAGGGAAAAAAACGAATGTATCTTAATAACGTTTACTATGAAACACTATATATATTGGGCATGTATCAGGATCGCTATATGAAAAACACTGATAGTCTCCAACAAACAAAAAAAACAAAAAACAAAAAACAAAAAACTATAGTTTACCAAAGTTAACTGTATTTGCAGTATCAAAGTTTTCACTATAGTAAATCAAAGTATTTTGGGATATATGATTGTGATATTTTATGTTCTTAAATTTATATGTGCACATTTTTTTTTTATATTTTAGTG